AATTATTCTTTAAATTTGTGTGCACTTTGCTAAACTTGTCCGTGCTGTTTTAATTAATTAAATTTTTATTCTATTTTAAATTTCGTTTTCACTGAATAACCTCCACGTGTACGATAAGTACGACAAACTTTCTTGCTATCGTTTTATTCGTGGGCTCTACTACAACACGTTTACCTGCTTTAATGTTTGAAAAACACACCTGAGTGAAGCCTGAGTTTTAGAAAGTGCTTCATAAAACACTGTATTGTAATTTTTATTTATTTTTTTTAATTTTAGTTCAAAAAAGTTTGAAATCCCCTTTTGAAGTTTTATTTCCTTCTTTTATTTTTGTTCTTGGCTGTTGAGTTGCTCTTTACTTTGTTCTTGATCTTTCATTTGTTTGAATTTAAGTTTTAATTCAGCCCTTGTCTTTGTTTATTTATGCATCCTTGGTGTTTAGCGCTGGCCTTTTTCTTATGAAATAATAAGTTGAAAGTGCAAATTATTTCATATGTGAGTACAAATGTAGTTTATTTTACATTAACGGGGCCTTTTAAAGTCCTAAAAAGTTTAATAGTGTAGTTTTAGTTTCTGAAAACAGGAGAAACAAATCAAAGAAACTCAACTTTTGTTTTTCTTTTGTGTTCTGTTTCCATAAAAAAGCGCAAACAGTGAGTAAAAATGTGAAAAATGTCCAGAAACTGTTTCGTAAACTGTCGCAAATTAAGATTAAAACATGAAGTTCCATATCTACGAATCTTGTGAAATAACAAGACAAAACTGCAAACTGTTTTTTTTTCTTACCAAACTCCTAAAATGTTTATGAGTGCAGTTTTCGACTGCTGTTACTGAAACAGGAGAAACCAACAATCAAAGAAACTCAACTTTTATTTCTCTTTTTTTGTGATTTAGAGGTTTAGATTCAGACTCCCGATGAAAGTGCAGATTCTATAATAATATCTCAGGTTTCTATTTTCAAAAAGGTGTCGCTGGTTTCCTACAAAGTCTGATGTGTGCAGATGTTTGTTTGAACTGTGTCATGGTGACTTCTCTCTCTCCTCCTTCCTGGTTTTTCTGTTTCCGTAGAGGTGCAGGACTTTTATATATTGCGGTGATAAACGACGTGACAGCAGCAGAAAAACATCCAGGAGCTCGTTGGGGTTCGGCGGGTTAAGGAACGGGTCCGTACCAGCTCTATCTCGCTGTCATCGATCCCACTCAGGTCCAGCTCCCCGCTGTCGGCAGCACCATCTGTCAGAGACAAAAACCAGAACGGACACACTTAGACAAATCTGCTGCGGCGCACATTTTTCCTGCAGCGCCGTCGTCCCAGAGGACCGAAACTGGAAACGCCGACCTCCAGCATCTCCTGCTGGTGTGGAACATCTTCCATCGGGGGTTAATCAGCAAATGAAACGCACTGCGACCCCCGATAAGGCGCTAATGGGCTTAACTGGCGTCGAAGCGGCTCTACCTCAACACACCTTTTTTCTCTCTAGATTGCTTTATTTTCAAGAGATGCTGAAACAACATTTTTCACGCGATGCCCGACACTCGGCTCCGGCTTCCAGCGGCGACGGAAGTAAAAAAACAAAAAAAAAAAACAACAGACGCTTGATAAAAGAAAAGAGGCATTTCAAATCCCCAGGTGTTGGCGCACACAGTTCAATTTTGCAAGAGAAATGTTCAAACGAAAGTCTGATTGACTTTGATAAAAGAAACAAAAGATTCGGAGGGAGGCGGCGGCTCCGACTTTAAAAGGAAACCATCAGTGGAAACTCAACAGCTTTTCACTCCAAAAGATTCTCCGCCTTGATTAGCTGCTTCGCGACAACTCTTCAGACATCAGACGGTCAATGAAAGATGGAACGAAACGTTTTAAAAGAGGCAGCGAGGTTTGAGGGAGTCGTTTAACTTCTGTCAGCTCTCTGCCTTTGACATGTTCACGGAGAGCCTCTTTCCTGAACTCCCAACAGCTTCAAAGCGCCGCCACCCGAGTCCACGGGCGGCTTCATTAAGAGAAACAGGTGCCGGGCGGCCAGCCGGCGAGCGACACCCGTCCTCAGTCGGCAACGTTCTCCGAGCAACCGAAGGGATAATCTAGTCAGCCGTTAGCAGATTGCAGCTTCAGAGGGAACAGACAGGTCAGTCGCTATCTATCGCGCCCAGAACTCTAAGAACTTCCCCTCCGTGAAGTGTGAGGCCGAGATAAGACGGAGACAAGCCCTGGGAGAGATCTGCAGCTCCGGGAGGCCGAGAGGCAGCGAGACCGAGAGCTGATAACGCCGGTCCGACCCCGCGAGAGGAGGAGGAGGCAGCAATTACCGGCTTATTATTCAGACGACGCTTTGATATATCTGCACTCGTTAATTCGATCAAACCCATAAAATTGTTCTCGGCGCTCGTGCGGGAGAATCTGCAGACCTCAGGTTCACAGGAATGTGGAGATGTGGAGCTATTTTTATTTCGCTTTTTTTTTTGCATTTAAGGCTATGAGAAAGGCTGTTCACTCTGGTGGAGACGAGCTTTGATACTGGTGTGAAGTTAAACCATTAGACCTACACCAGGTGCAAAGATCCTGGACTGTGTGTAAATATCAGAAACTAGACCCAGTTTTGTTTCAGTAGTCTCTCTGTGCAGTGTCACTCTGCTCCCAGTGCTCCTGCAGCATTCACAACACTGAATTTCCTAAAATGTGTCAAGACGCAAAATCTGCATGAAGGGAAGCTGCAATTTATTATTTATTTATTATATCTGCACTCGCTAGCTTGACCAAACCTATAAAACTGTTCTCGGTGTTGGTTCACAGTTTCACTCTGGCTCAGGAACGTGAAGATATATATATATATTTTACTTTCATGTATTTGCGTGCGTTTAACAGCTACGTGGAGAAAGGCCGGTTATGTCGCATCACAAAGGTTCTGACTACAGACGAGCTCTGATGTGGAATCAAACTATTTCCAACAAAGACACCAAAAATAAAACATACAAAGGTTTCTGATGTAACCACCCCAGCCAGCTTTGAAAGTAACCTTACATCGTCATCCTGCAAAAAGATCCAAGACCGTGGTTCTAAACATCAAAAGCTGTACCTGAATTAAACTTGGTTGTAGTTGTCTCCTTGTGCAG